AAGACTGCACCACTGCACTCCAGCCTGGGTGACAGAGCAAGACTCCTACTCAAAAAAAAAAAAAAAAAAAAAAGAAGAAGAAGAAGAAGAAAAAAGAAGAAGAAAATCAGGGTGCCTTCAGCATGCTAATCCTCACTCTAGGCTAGTGGCAGTTTCCCCTGTAGATCTTTTTCCTTTCCTCACTTTTAATTTCTTCTCACCAATAAAATAGGAAAAACTCATTCTGCAAGAATACATTGATTTCAGGCTTTTACCTTTATTCCACTATTTTGCTAAAAAATATTGGCTTTGGAACCCTAAGACATGAGGGACCTTTACCTAAATTTGTCCTGGCCAAATCTCTAAAAGCCCCCTTGGGAAGCACAGTCTTGTGTGTGTGTTTGAGATAGTATTATTCTGTAGGTGTCAGATTTTTGTGGAAAAACTATTATGACTTCTACAAAATAAAACTCTTCCCCCCAAAATCTGTTTCAGTAAATAGAATATATGGTTTCTCAAAATCTACTGTTGAGGTATAAAATAAATTCTTTTAATTCCACCATTCCTGGCATTTGCATCCCATGCGTATGACCCAGATCCTCAAGTATTGCCTCTCGTGGGATGTGCAGAGATGGTTGCCCCATATCTTTTGGTTTTTTAAACCATTTATGAAGCTTTTATCAAGGCAGTGATCCTCACTAAGAGACACGAGGAGTGTTCTGACCAGGAGGTAAGGTGGGTGCATGCCCGCTGTGCTAAATTCCAGAACTGTGGTGAGTGTGAGGCATGAACCTCAAAGTACTTACTATTCAAATAAGAATGACCCTTCTCCACCAGGCGCAGTGACTCACGCCTGTAATCCCAGCACTTTGCGAGGCCAAGGCAGGTGGATCACCTGAGGTCAGGAGATCGAGATCAGCCTGGCTAACATGGTGAAACCCCATCTCTCTTAAAATGACAAAAAAATAGCCAGGCCTGATGGTGCACACCTGTAGTCCCAGCTACTGGGGAGGCTGGGGTTGGAGAATCACCCGAACCCGGTGGGGAAGGGTTGCGGGCAGAGGTTGCAGTGAGCTGAGGTTGCACCACTGCACTCCAGCCTGGGTGACAGAGCAAGTCTCCAAAAAAGAAAAAAACACCAAAGAGAAAAAGAATGACCCTTCTCTTGCTCAGCCAAAGAGGTGAAGAAAGCACCAGTGATCCTGGAGAAACTACAGAACTGCGGTGTTCCCGAAGGCCACCCTGTGAGACTGGAGTGCCGCGTAATAGGCATGCCCCCACCTGTGTTCTACTGGAAGAAAGACAATGAGACCATCCCTTTCACCAGAGAGAGGATCAGGTACAGACTTTGCACATTTTTTGTCCCATGTCTTCATTTATATTAGGACCCAGAAAAGCTCTTTGAAGTAAAAAAACTAAAACAAAATAAAACATCAAGGCAGTTACACTCCTTTTCCATCCATCACTAAATGATTGTTTTTAAGGTAAACTTAAGGATCCAGTTTCTTAAACTGGGTACCTTGCTTAATCTTCCCTAACCAGGCCGGGCGCGGTGGCTCACGCCTGTAATCCCAGCACTTTGGGAGGCGGAAGTGGGTGGATCACGAGGTCAGGTCAAGACCATCCTGGCTAACACAGTGAAACCCCGTCTCTACTAAAAATACAAAAAATTAGCCGAGTGTGGTGGTGGGCGCCTGTAGTCCCAGCTACTCGGGAGGCTGAGGAGGGAGAATGGCGTGAACCCGGGAGGCGGAGCTAGATGTGTATAAGAGACAGGCTGGGACCCCTAAACAAAACTTCCTCCAAAGTCATTGCCCAGATAGGCAGAGCCTCTGCCAGAATTCCTTCATCCTTTGCCCGGCTAACTCCAATCTCAATTTCCCCTTCACTGTGGTGGGACGGTATTTCCCACATCACTTTCAAAATCATGCCAGTAATCTAAAATCATAACCTGATACCATGTGCATAATACCCATTAAATAAATGAGAGCCATTGTAATCATCAATCAATCCATCCATCCATTAGCCGTCACTAAATTCCAGCTATGTGCCCTGCAGCCCATCATTCCTGTAACATACCAGCCTCTTTGTCCCCCGTCTAAGTTTTCATGCCTTTGCACCAATGATCCCTCTACCAGAATCTCCTTTTCTGCCTGGCAACCTCCTACTCATTCTGTAAGGTCTAACTGAAATGTCACCGCCAGGTACAGTGAATCCACCAGGCACAACTACCCCTTCCCAGCCTAACAACAATAAAGTGTTTCTATAGCACTCAGAAAAGGAGAGATTCACAGAGTACGTAGGGCCTTCTGTGCAACTGTTAATTCTTTGCCTCCCTGAAGAGATGCTGAGCTCCTGAGGTCAGAGACTGTGGCTCGTCTTGCGCATCTCCAGTGCCTCTGTCTCTCTTCTGCGTATCTCAGTGCCTGGAACGTGGAAGGTGCCCAAGAAATATTGAATCAATATCTAAACAAATGAAATTTTATATTCTTAGATGATGTGAACAAAACACTGTAATGCCTATCCATAAGGATAACAAGACATTGTCATCTGGGAGGTGCCAGCCTTGCAGAGCAGTAGTCCAACCAGAAGTAAATTTCAGAATGCAGGAATTCTGGTGCTGGGCTTCCTCCTGCTCTCGGTGTGACCTTTTAAGAAAATCAGGGTGTGGGGCACGGTGGCTCACGCCTGTAATCCCAGCATTTTGGGAGGCCGAGGCAGGTGGGCAGATCACCTGAGGTCAGGAGTTGGAGAGCAGCCTGGC